GCAAGAATACACGCCCACGTAGAGCTGTCTGACAAGACGCTCACGAAATACCAACAGATGCGTGTGATGTTACGACGTGTGACACGTGTGTGATGTGTGACGTGCATGATTTTGTGTGTTCTCTTAATCCTTGACAACAGGGTGTCACCTTTACGGAAGCTCTTGGGAAGCATGTTAGAGTTCTCCAGAGGTTTTGTTTTATTTGACTTGCTAGAGAAAGTAGGAGTCCCACTGTCTTGAAGAAGAACCTATGAGGAATGACAATGCATTTGATTTCTTGTCCTATATTAGGCAAGATTGGAACTTTCATGTACAACAGCAGACCTGATGACCCGTCCCCCGCCCCCCAAAAAAACTCTACAAAACAAACAAAAGGCTCTTGAGTTTCTTACACGTGGGTGATCTGTTCCAATGCCTCCAATGCAGTGTCTTTGTCCACACACCCTCTTAGGTGCTCTTACCTTTCTTTACTTGTGACTAACACCTTACTGTTAGTAAGGTTATCGGCTTTAAAGGTACAACCCGCAAAAATGCAGCCCATGCTCAAAATGTGATTTTGTGTTTTCTCAATATTTTCTCCCCACTTCTCAGGGCCTCGATACAGGGAAGTCAGGACACCGCTGCTGGTTCACACGGAAGTAATTCAGCATGGGTCGTCACGGTCAAATCGGTGCAGACACGCTGCTCACCACCCTCTGTAGGGAAAAGCCCGCTGTTGTCTGCCCCAGTGTGGCCGATATTATCCCTCAGCCACATCGTGGACAGGGGTGAGGAGTTTAGCTTCACAGCGTGTGTGGCCCGTGCGCCGCTCCTGGGCAAGGTGCGGCCGGAAGGTTTTGGTGCAGTAGGCGGTGGGCAGTGGTTCCTCGGGGGCTCCTCTTGCTTGTCACACCTCCCCAGCACAGTGACAGGGAACCTTTCCTCCTCTCCCCTCTGTCCCCAGGGCCCGGAGACGTGTGCTGGTGAAATCAAAGGCCCAGGAGAGAGAGCTACATGCGTGGCGCAGCCTAAGCAAGCCGGTCCTTCAGGTGTCCCCACGTGCAGCCAGGCTCCTTGCCTATGAGCAATTAGTCTTCACGGCAAATGACAGAGGTTCTAAAACAGGGATCAGAGCAGCGGGATTTGCAGAAGAAAGGATAGATAGACCCAGAAGCTATCAAATCATAGCAGCAGGCTTTATTCATATTCCTACTAGAAGCCGAAAGCACAATGTAGGGGCCTGTGTTCCTCCCAGCGGGAGTCCGCGTGGCAATCATTCTGCTCTTCCTGCACAGCCTAGGACTCCCACATGAAGGCTTCGGCAGAAGTCATCTGCAACCTCTGCACAGCCTCTCTCTTTACTTCCTCGGGAATCATTCACACTGTCCTTTGGGCAGGGCACCTTCAGCCATCCCAGCTTCTAATTAAGATGTCTTTTCAAAACTGAATTTGGCAAACGTAGGTTTGGTCCATTCAGTTTGTTTACCCTGGCGCGGCAGCTATGTCTTTACAAGAATTTCCAAGCTAAACGTTCAGCCTGGGCGTGTGCAAAAAGTGGAGATAGCAATTTGCTTTGCATCACCTGAGGTCGGGGCCTTCAGAAGGGGGCAGACTTGGTTTCCGAATCCTTGACTGTCCAAGGTTTATGAAAGGTTGCTGGTTACAACCTGCCTTAAAGATCTGCAGGTCTTTCAATGGCTGGCCACGCTCACCCAAATTCGCACCCCCTTCCCTTTTCCTAATTTATTTTTCTTATTTGCTCTCGTCCACGTCTTGTGCAGAATGGATGTTTATTCTACTTACTTCGTTCATCGTCTTCACCCAGACCCCATGATAAAATGTCTTCACAAGAGTAGGGACTTTTATTTTCTTCACTGCTATAATCCAAGAAACTAGTACAGAGGCACTCAATAAATATGTATATTTATTTATAAATAAATATAATAAATGAATAAACTAATCTCAGTGCCTTGGTCTTAGTTTTGTCCCTTGTACATCACATAATAATTCTAATCTGATCCCATCTAATCAGAAACAGTTCTCTATCCCTGAGCTACTTATGAGGCACAAGAAAACAGAAAACGTCATCAAACTTGGAAGAGCTGGATTATTAGTCTTTATGAGAAGGGAGCATCTCTGTGACCAACATTAAGAAAGCACAAGTTTTCAGGCACTGCTCTAAGGGCCTTACAGGTATTAGTCCATTTGATCCTTTCCCCGGCAGGAAGAGGTTGGTACTATTGTTATTAGCTCATTTTATAGCTGGGAGGTGAGGCTCAGAGAGGGAAAGCAGAGTGCTCAGGGGCACACGGCTGCTTAGTGTTTGAGGCAGGATTAGGGCCCAGGAAGTCCGGCTGCAGAATCTACTCCTAACAGTCGCCCTTCCTCACTGGACTGGCCAGGAGCTCTGCCCAGTGGCTGTCGGAGGCATCTCCGGGCACAGAGAAGAAGGAAGCAGGGGACGGCGTAAGTCCTGCCCTGGGGAAGCTCGCCCTGTAGCGGGGTGACAAGACACTGTTTCTAAGCTGCGTGTCATGTGAACCGTGCAGCACACGCCGCAGGAGGTGGGAAGCGTGAACCCCTCCCTGTGGCCAGTTCTCCCGCTTCCCAGGACAACCGCGCTCATGCTGTGAGTGAGGACGCAGGCAGAGCCTCCCCTGGCAGAACCCACACTGCTCCTGCCCTGCTTGTCAGCGCAGAGGGATGGCTGGGCGATATGAAGATTGGTATCAAGATGTGGAGGGGCTCCTGCTTGAGTCTTCCAGCTCAGTTGTTGCTGTCTTCAGGGTCTTCTGTCCACTGGGGGCCAGAGGGCCTCTGGGAAGAGGGGAAAATGAGTACAGAACCATGGATGGCTCTTCAAGCTTTGGCCCTGATTTCACTTGGGGAAGCCAAGTCACCAGGGCAAGCCTTGTGCTAGTGGGGTAGGAAGCCCAATCTCCCCCCAGGGATGGCCAGGTAGGAAGGGACAGTGGCTTTTTTGGCAGCCACATAGTCTGCCAAAGCAGGGTATATATAATGGGAACAGGGTACAGTCGGCTTGACTGAGGCACATGATGTCTTAAAAGGAGGTCCTCTAAGATGCACTGAAAAAGTAGGTTGGGGCCAGTTCGTGGAGCGTGGATTTCACAGGAAGCCACTGGGAGCAATGGAGGGCTCTTGAGCAGGGGAGTGATATAGTCAAAGCTGTGCCTCCCAAGGGGCTGGCTTGGCCCTTTAAGTGCACTTTATAGTAGGCATGTGCTGCACACCACAGGGATAATAAAATATAATTACTGCCACAAAGAACAGTTCACTTAAAGCAACCTAAATCAGGATGCTTGGCCACTAGCCTGCAAAGTGGTGCCAGTCTGGCTGCAGGAGAGTCACGGCAAATCCTGGCAGCAGTGCCTGGCGAACGCATCATTAATACCGCCGCCTCTCACCACCCCACACGCTCACCCTAGTGCAGCCACTGACATCTTTTCTCTGGCTGCCGCTCCCAGCTGCTACTCTTTCCTCTGGGTAGTCTCTCCTGCCCACACCAGCAGAAGATTAACATATTTTTAATATGTAAATTTGATCATGTCACCACCCCACTCAAACTTGCACTCTAAACACACACACACACACACACACACACACACACACACACACACTAGACTATAGGCAGATTTAAAAGGCATTCTGGAGACAAATGAATCTACATTACAGAAACTCAAATGATTATAGTTCCATGGGACATATTGCTGCCCCTGATCTTTTCTTAGCCACTTTTAGACTTCGGGGGCGACCTTCTGTCGCTCCTTATCCCCGCTTTCCTTCCTCACTCTCCCACTGTCTCGTGCACACTCTTTCCTGCCCCCCCCCATGGAATCCCCAATCATTCTGGGCCTCTCTGGTTATCTGACTGGACTCACCCTCAAGGACTCAAATCCACCCCCACAGGAGCTCCGGTGTCCACTCTGGGGCTGCATAGCTTTCCACCTTCCCTTAGGTTACTGTGGTTGTATAGCTCTCCCTCTTTCTTTCTCTTTACACTCCCACTTGAGTGTCAGAAATAGGTCGGGAGAGCTGATTAAACATGTTTCTTCCCAACTCTGCATTCAGTGACACAGGATTAGCACCTTAAAGTCAGCGTGGTGGGCGTATTTACATCCAGAAAACAGACAAGGCCACACATCAGGTTTTTGCTTTCCGGAGAGCCAGCTGTTAAACACTGATCAGCTGGTCCTCTCTACCTGTGATAGGTTTGTTTGGTCATATATAACAGTTTCCAACAAAACAGAATCATGATGCTGTTATAAATTTACTTCCTAGGTGAACAATTATTCATGCTATTATTTAATACATTTCTATTGAATTTCATTATATGAGTACAACAAGTTTACTCACGCCACTGGACACTTATGTTTTGCCAATATTTTCACATGACAAACTGTAATTAAGATATTTATAGACAACTATTGAGCATATCCTTAATTATTTACTTAGAATTGATGATGAAAACTGGAATTTCTGGGTCTCAGCATGTTCATATTTTTAGATTTCTTTTTTTTTTTTTTTTTTTTTTGAGACAGAGTCTCGCTTTGTTGCCCAAGCTGGAGTGCCGTGGCGTCAGCCTAGCTCACAGCAACCTCAAACTCCTGGGCTCGAGTGATCCTTCTGCCTCAGCCTCCCGGGTAGCTGGGACTACAGGCATGCGCCACCATGCCCGGCTAATTTTTTATATATATATCAGTTGGCCAATTAATTTCTTTCTATTTATAGTAGAGACGGGTTCTCGCTCTTGCTCAGGCTGGTTTTGAACTCCTGACCTTGAGCAATCCGCCCGCCTCGGCCTCCCAAGAGCTAGGATTACAGGCGTGAGCCACAGCGCCCGGCCTTCTTTAGTATATTTTAAATTTATTTTATATGTTATGAGATGTGGAACTAATTTTATTGAAGATTTAATGGTTTTAAAATAATACATTAGTTGTTTTTTATTCTTTTTCTAATTTTTATATGACATAATTATAGACATCTATTCATTCAGCACAATTTATTGACAGTTTTGGTGGGCCCTGTGACTCTTTTACTGGCATGACAATATCAATTGTGACTACTGCAAAACATATTGTTATGTCTAGTAGTGTCATCAACTGCAAGTATAACTCCTTCTTAGTTTTCTAGTATATCTATCTTCACTCTGCTTTCCTGAATCAATTTTGTGAAGCTCCAAAAAGTCTTGATGTGGATGTGTGTGTACACGACGACACGGATGACAGTGTGTGTGTATGACGACACGGATGACAGTATGTGTCTGCAGCATATCTGTAGGCTGGATGGACAACTCAGTGGGGAGAAACAGGCTAACATGCCAAGAACACAAGGCCAGATGTGTTTGGCGATGTCCTTGTTAGAATCAAGGGCGTGCCAGGTGGATCGGCTTTGGAGAAAGTGGGTAAGACAGCTTCTCATCAGCAGAGGAGGAGGTGAAGGAGAAGGGAAACAGAGGCACGTGGCTGCCAGAGGAGGGAATGGGGGGACCCTCCTCTGAAAAGGCACCCTTCCCAGGGAATTGGGAGAGGAGGAGTTCTACAGAATGCGGAAGAAGCTGGTTCCACTGGAAAGATTGTCAAAGGAAGTGACACACAAAAGGGAAATTTTGCAGAGAAGCAGAAGTGTTGGGGGAATAAGAGGGAGGTAAGAGCAGACTTTTTGCAAAGAATCCACACCTGAAAAGGATTGGCAAGCACACAGTGATATTACAGAGAAGCTGGAGATTATCCCACAGGGAGATATGACCTGGATTTTAATGGTTACATAACATTTCAATAATGCATGTGCTTGCTGCATTCTAAGAACAAAAATTCCTTATTTCCAAGGTAAACATAGAGTGCTGGGTACCGCACACCATTTTTTGGTACACGGGTGGCTTATAATGAACATGCCCCCAGGAAAGATGTGGGATAGATGCTGAGATTGCCACAGGGAACTTTCTTCTCACCAGGAGTAGAATTCTATGAGCAAAAGTAGAGGGGGAAAAAGAGTCAGGAAAAAGCAGAGAACAAGGGGAGGCGATAACAGGCTCTGAGCTCCTCTTCTAGAACTCTCTTCAGAGGCATGAGCTCATGCATTTTCCTAATATCCCTGTAAGATGAGCAGGCATTGCCGAACTTGAAAGAGAGCTGAGAGTGGGTCCACCGAGATCAGCACCCCTCTCTTAAGAAGTGGAGATTTCTTACAATAATCAGAAATGTAACAAGGTGGTTTAGTGTCTACGTGGTCTTAGAGAGAGGTGTTATTTTTAAATAAAACAGATGATCGCGGTTGACACAAGAAAGCGAGATGTTTTACCCGTTCAGTTGTCCTTCTTGCTCTCACTGAAAGTAACCAATTTATTTGCGGTGTGTTCACAGAGACCCAGAAGAGCGCTCTAACCACCAGTCAGCACAGCCTCGTCTCAGGATGAAAGGAGGTTTCAGCTGATGGAGGAAATGTGAACCCCGCTTAGGAGGAAGGTGCACCTCAGCCAGCAACAGGAGCTGCTTTGGAGCTCATTATTCAAATTTGGCAGAATGGGATGGAGGATAGTCTGGCGAAGGGGCCAGACTCACAGATGAAAGTGCTGGTGGTCAAGGGATTGGAGGCGGGAGAATGTGCTGTGCCTTGGGCAGCAGCCGGGGCTGCAGCCTCCCCGCAGCCAGTCTCCCGGGGCACCCTGCCCGTGGAAACAATGGTGGCGAGACGCCAAGAGCGGCGCAGCAGACCGGCTCAGGCAGTCTGGCTCTCGCATGTGCGCTGCGGAGCCTCCTCCCTGATCTCGACAGGGCTGCATGTGGCGGGGGGGAGAAAACCCATGTTAGTACCTTCATTAAGGCTCCTAGCATTTCTGCAGCTGAGCAACATCCCGTGACACGTGCGTACTCCTAAGATTCGACTTGGAAATTTAACCTTTGGTGACGGGGGAGAATGTGGGTCTCTTTATTGCCGCCCCCAAAACCCCAGGGCTCCAGTGCCAGGGACTGGCAGCTTTCCCAGAGTGCTGGAATCCTGCCCCCGTCCCCACCCTCAGAAAAGCACAGCTGAGATTTTAACTATATAATAGCTGGGGTGGCTAAATTAAATTGAGAAGGTTTGATTTTTTATTTTTTTGATGAAAGGAAAAAATTTTTTTATTTCTTTTATTTTTCCTTTTTTTCCCTACCAGCTATCTGGCAGGCCTAACTCTGTCCCTGAGGTGATAGTTACCAAGGTGCTTTGCCCATAATTGGCACCAATAAAGTATTGAGCGGGTGACCACATCATTACATCCTGTGTGTTTCTTAATTTTTTCATGCATCAAGCAGCCTTGTAACCCAACACTGCAGCAGGTCGACACTGAGGCCCAATCAATTCTTGTATTTGTGAAGCGCTGTTCTCTTTACAAAGCACACTCACTCTCATCTACTACCTTATTCTACACACAACAACCGTGCAGACTGTATCAATTGCAAACTTGTCCTGCAAAGGTCTGGACTGTAATTGCTTTAGCCTCTGTGGGCTACATGGTGTTTCAGTACTCCACTCCACCTCTGTGGTGTGAAGGCAGCCCTGCGCAACACGCAAATGAATGGATGTGTCTATGTTCCAATAAAATTTTATTTAGAAAAGCAAGTGGTGAGCTGGATTTGGCCTGGAATGCCCAGAACAGTAACGTCTTGCTTCTCTGTTTAACTCCACCTACACTCCAACTCATTTTTAACCACTTCGGTACGGCGCTCACCGGCCTCGAAACCTTGCCCACAGCCGGCACTCACAGCCCACACCATAGTTTGTGCTGTGCATTGACGAGTCCGTTTTGCTTTTGTGTGATGAGGAAAGCTTGAAAGCACTGAAAGCTTGTTTTACTTTACAGGCAGCTTTGCTTGTCATGTAAATCAGAATAGGTAACATAGACATATATGTTTTCATTACGTTATTTTTAAACGTTCACAATTTTATTTTGATAAATGAAAAATTAGAAAAGTCATATCATGGCTGTCAGCTAAAGTCGCTGTGAGCGTTCATCTGTGCCTATCGACTATAGTCGACGCTGGTACCGAAGTGGTTAAGAGGATCTTTTTTTTTCTGTTAGTTTGGTCTCAATCATAATAGTTCATAATAATCAACATTTGGTAACGATAGTCACTCCAACCTCACTCCATCTGGATCTAGATTTTCACCCTACCCAAGTCCTTGCCCACTGTGCTGGTGGAAGTGACTCATGCAAGGAACGATGGGGATGGCGCGGTGTCGTGCCTGCTCCACACACCGCTGATGGCGTTAAGGACTGCGAGTGACAGAGTCAGAGCTCTGCCTGCCGGCCACGCTGTGCCCTTCGGACGTGTTAGCACCATCCTCACACAGCCTGCCAGACAGTCACTCTCCTTTCACTGTACAGACGAGAAAATGAAGGCCTAGAGCAGTTAAATGAGCTCCTCAAGGTCACCCACAAGGGCACCTGCAGTTGCACAGGGCCCCACACTCGGAAGAGGCCCCCATGTCATTGTTTTAATGATGTTGCCTCTTTGAATTCTTAACAGATTTTGAACAAAAGGCTCTGCACTCCCACTGGGTTCTGCAAATTACATCACACACCCAGGCCTCACAGCCAGGAGAGTAGAGCTAGGACTCGAATTCCCCCGAGTCTGACCCCAGTGCCGCTGGGCCTTGGCGCAAATCTGTGTGCTCTCTCCCGGCGGGACCCCACCTGGGGATGAGTAGAGGTGTGCCCAAGGCACCACATCTGTTTGACCCATATCAAAGATGCAAACTCCATGCAAAAATGTTTTTAAATCACGTGATCCAAAAGATCACAAGAAGATAGTCTAGGTTTGTTTGCTGTGTTGACGTCTATTATCTGACAGATCCTTCTAATTCCCCGTTAAGTGGATATTATTATCTCAGGCTTCAAGTGAGGAAACAGAGGCCCAGAAAAAGTTAAATAACTTACAGAAAGGAGACAGCAGGTCCTGCTGCAGGTCCAATTTTTCTTTCTCAAAATGAAAAGGGTCCCTTTTTCCAAGTCTCATCTCCATATCCGGGTTTCTAAATGATTTCTGGAATGAAATATGTAATAATTACTTCCAGGTACGCATATGCACGCTAACATGTGCCAGCAAACAGTTAAAGAAAAGGAGAAGTGTGTCATTTCCTTTTTACAGAGCCCCGTCTCCCCCTTCCTCTGTCAGAGTAGATAATGTAGCTTTTGGTCCGCTGGGTGTCCCTGGGAAAGACTCAGGGAAGCCATGTGCGTGCTCCAGAGGAGATGTTAAGTGGAGACCCCCATAAAACTTAAGTAGAAGCAGGCATTTTTCCTGGAAAATGCCCACTCTGATAGGACCATACATTATGTTTTACAGTGCTGCCTCAGCAACCATGGGAAGAAAACCTGCTGCCCCTGGATTCATGGCAGGGAGTTTTGGCCCATCAATCGCAGGGGAAAAAATATTTCCCCAAAGCTCTCTCCAGAAGTTAAAGAAAGGCTAGAGTGCACTTGAGGAGTCCATAATCCAGAAGCCACAGCTGGCCAACTTGTGAAAAGTAAATTCCAGGTGCTAAATATGACGGCTGCCTCCTCTCTAGGGCGTTGAGGAATTCGGGTGAATTCGCCAAAACGCTGGGCCTAGGAGAGTGGCGGCCATCGCTTGGGATCTGGAGCAAGTGGGGCTTTAATTTCTTAAACTAAAGCAATGCTATTAAAAACAATTTCCTACATTTGTGTAGAGATATAAAGCAGACATTAATAATACACAAAAGCAAAGCATTTTTTTAAAAAAACCACCCAGAGAATAAACTGTAATAAGCATAACATTGATGTTGAAATCCCTTTGCAGTTCCCAGCTTCCAGAGGTGATCGCAGTAGGCTGCAGGATTACCCGCAAAGAACTGACAGTGTGGGAGGAAAGAACCGGGGGCCCAGCGAGGAAGATGTGGCCGTAGAGCAGAGGCAGCAACTGAAGAGTTCGGGGAAGGGCCCATGAACAAGGGTACGAGTAGATCACGGAGACTCAAGGAGGGATGGCAAAGCATCCCTGGGTTTTCAGCTGCCTGGCAGGTTCTCTTCCAGAACCTGAGGCGAGCTCCTGCTGCGGAAGAGGGCCTTACACAGAAGATCGCAGCCAGTGCCAAACGGTGGGCGAGGAGGAGAGAGAAACACATACGCTCACCTCACTCTCCTCTCACTCCATTGCGTGCCACTGCCTCCCACGGGTGACCCCAGTCGGAAGCCAGAGGACCAGGGACCCCACTGACACAGTTTCTAAGTGTCTGTCTGGAAGGCACGGAGCAGGGTGGAGAAGGACTGGAAGTGGACTTGGAGAAGCACATAGAGGGTATTGTGCATGAGGGACATGCAGAGGCAGCACTTCCCACGCCTGGCGGGCTCTCCCCCTCATCTGGGGACTAATACACGTGCTGTGCACATGCAGATGGACAGCCTGGCCCTTGGATGTGCCAGTTCAGGAGACCTGGCATGCATGAGGTTTCCCAGGTGATCTGGGTGACCACACAGAAGGATGTGGTTTGGAAACCACAGAAGGATGTTCTTTGAGAGCACTTCCACGCGCAGCATGCAACAGACCCGCAGCAGCACACGTGCTGCAAAGATCTGATCTCTCATGGTGCTTGCCTGCCCGCCTCCCACTCCGTTCACAACCACCTGTGCTGGTTGAACATCTGCACTGGGCAAAGCACCGCGGTCAGAGCGGCTGCACGGCGTTTGCTTTCCATCTCCCGCAAATAAATGCGAGACACAGTCCACGGTTGCTCAAGCTTCCTTCACTCTAGTGAGGATAAAAGAAGGATTTTGTAAGAAGAAAAGAGTTTTATGAAGCTTCAAGGCAATGATAAGGGAAATAACATCAGAGAGCAGTTAGCAAGTGCAGAGTAGGACAAGTCCCTGGCTGGAGGGGCACGAGGAAGAAAAGTCGCCCCTCTGTGTCCCCACAGTGGCCGTGGGAGGCCGCTCCTTACTGTCCCCATTTTACAGACAGGCAGGGAAGGCCCAGCTGAGGCTGCATCGTGACTTTCACATGAAGATCAGCTCCCTCCACCTTCAAAAAATACTAGAAATTGTATTTTGCAATCGCATTAGTATAAAGACAAATACAGCCCAGGCAAGACCACATTCACCTTTCTTCTGATTAGAAAAATGATGAAAACATTCAGGAGAGCCCCTGGAAGTATCGTGGGCCTTATGCACTGGGCCTGCTCTACCTTACAGGGCCATAGCCCTGAGCAGTGGCAGACACGCCCTCGAGCGCACAGCTGGAAAGTAAAAGTCTAAACAGCCATCAGGCTCTGGATTTGTGGATCTCAACTCTGGCTACACCTTAGGACAGGCTGAGCAGCTCCCCAAAATGTGCACCCTCAGCTTGCACCCAAGGCCACTTAAGTCAGCATCTCTGGGTACAGGGACTAGACATCAAAGCTCCCAGGTGATCCTGATGTGTAGACAAAGTCCTGGCTCTCCCCTCTGTCCCATGCTGCCACCTTCATAAGGGAACACGGAAGAGATTTGATGCCATATCTACCAGCTGCTACTGCCAGTGCTAAGGCGAGGGCTTGTGTGTTGTACCAATGCAACGACCAACATAACCCACCCCTGCCGTTCTCTCCAGCCTTCTATTCCCTTCTCAGGCTCTCCTTGCAGCTGCAATGGGGTTCCTCCCTGTCCTGGAAGAGATTACACATGGTTTCCACGTGTAATTGTCCTCCACCTACCTGGAGTCCAACCCAGCCCCACCACGGCAGCAGGCCTTCCATGCCTTCCCCAGCTGATGGGCGTTCCTGAGCCCCTGCGTGGCCTTCCTGCCCTCAGAGCCAGGCTCGGGGCAGGCCAGCTGGTGGCAGTGCCCTGGGATTTCCAGAAGACTGAGCAGTGGCTCGCGGTGGGGGTGGGGGGGAGCCCCAGCGCCTGCCCCACACGTGTGCCGGGCGTGGCATCCCCACACTGAGCTCACTGACAGGTCACCCCGATCACTCTCACAGTCACCTCAGTACTGCCTTTTGGTCACTCCAAACTCATTTCACCTGAATTCAGATGATCAGAGAATGGAGAGGGCGGAGGAGTAGAAAGATACTGGCCCATATTTAAGAAGAGAGCACGTAAAATTAGGATGATGAATCTCCCGTCAAGAAGATCGGCTTTTAATGAGAGAAAATCCACAGAGCATATCCCTTGAACTTCACAGTTTGTTTATTCATTTACTGTGCATAAATCTTGTGTGTGTTAATAAGAATGCTGAAAGAGTCTTAGTTATCAACTGGTCAACCAAGTCTACGGCCAAAGCAGTATTACTACTGTGTTTACACTCAATTATAGTGACAGAGTTTCTCTCGTGTTTTTTCGGCCAGGGCAGTGCATGAGCCGTCTTCCTGTGACTCAGCACCCACCTCCCTTCTAATCTTCCCTTGCTCCAGCCTCTGGCCTCCCGTCTGTCCCACGCAGCTCACTTCTGCCTCAGACCCCTGCACTGGTGACTCTGTCTGGCGTGTTCTTCCCAGCAACAGCCACGGGCTCACGTCCTCACTCCACTGACGGTCTCTGGTCCTTCTCACCTTCACAGAGCGCACTTCTCTGACCACCCCACGTAAAGCAGCATCCTGCCTCCACCCCACACCTCGCAGCCCCCCGATTTGCTTTCCCTCACAGCCCTGTAAGTGGTGGAGATGGGTTCTTCCCACCTTGTCTTAATGGAGGTGAGTAGATGGCGAACGTGAAACCATCCCACCATCCCACACCTTCGGTGGGATTTAGGAAGAACACGTAGTAACACAGCTCCCTGACTCCACCATATCAAGAGTGCATGAAGGGGTCAGAGAAGATTTTGGAGAAGGCCTGTCCCCTGCCTTCAAGGCAGGTGTGGAACTAACCGTGCTGTGTGTCCTCCCGCTCTTCTGTCCCCAAGCCTTGGTAACAGAGGAAGTGGCAAGGGGATGCCTGGTGGGCGGACACCTGCCTCCTGCCTGAGAAATCTGAGGTGGCCCAAGGCTTTGGGATCACACCGCACTCCAGGCTTTATCAGAACAAACGACCCAAGACTGTTTGTGGTGGAGGCGTGGACAGAGAGATGGCAGGCGGGGGCAGCAGCAGCCCTCAGAAGCCCTGCCCAGGAGGAACGAGTGCCGGAGAATCTGGCTGAGGGGTAGCAGAGGGTCTCAGACTAACCCACAAACACATCCCTGAGCGGCAGACTTGGCTGGAACCATCCAGCCACCAGGCCCAGGATGTATGACCTGTGGTCAGCTCTCTCTAGCTCTCGGGAACTGGAACTGAAGTTAGGAGCCGGGGAGGGGGGGGGGCCCTGGGGAAAGAGGGAAGAAGGCTGCCCCACCCCCAATTGCACCTGGCCTGCCTCTGACAGGGGCCAGAGATTCAAGCTTGGATTCAAGTTTGTTTTGATTTTTATATAAGAGTAGGCATTCAACGACTAAATTAAGATTATATTTGTGATCGCAAGGAGTTGAAAAATTTTATTTATTAGCTCACTGTTTGCCTGATTTGCCTAAGTGTAAGCAGAACAATCTTTAGCTTGCTGGAATGTTCTTCAAGGGGCAGGGCAACACCCTCCTCTCTGAATATATTTTAAAAGGGAGGGAGAGATAATAGAGGTTGGTATTTGTTCAACATTCTGGTTCACGCTTACCACCACCAGCCATCTAATATACACATATCTGCTCATTGTCTGGAAGTACCTGGGTCCGAGAGGGATGTGGTTGTTCGTTTTGCTCACTTCTCTCTCTCTATTGCCCAGAATACAAGTGCCTGGCAAAAGGTACAAGTTCAATAAACTTTTTATGAATGAATGAATGAAATGATTTCACTGCCGTACTTAGCTTTGCCCATCTGAAATACATACTGTCATATGGATGTCAAGCTTTGCTAAACAAATAGCTCTGGACAATGATGATGGTTCAGTTTAGTAAATATTTATAGAACACTCCTTAGGAACCAAGAGCTGTGAAGGACAAAAAGGTTTTAAGTCTCCTCTAGTAAAGGAGAGAAATCATGCACACTGAAAGTTATTCAGAGCTTTCTATGGGCTCCTATCAAACA